TACATACATATATATATATATATATATATATATATATATATATATATACATATATATATATATATATATATATACATATATATATATATATATATATATTCCACCAACATTCAATTCAAAATTAGGGCATTAGATTTTGAGTTTGAAGTGCTAACTACTACAACATGAACTCATTTTCTGGCCAATTTGGAACTGAACCGAATATATCCTTATTTTCTGGCTCATAGCAGTTTCTCCAAATTCCAAGAGCTTATTTTTTTTTGTTTCCTCTCTCTCTCTGACAGGGAAAGAATCCTATTGATGTCTTGATGCTTAACCACCTTCTTGATTACCCATATGGGCTTCTGACATTTTTCTTTTAACTTCTGACTCCCATGACTTCTTTCCTCCCTTCTTAGGCAGTTCGTCCCGATCATTCTCCAACACCTTTCCCTTCCTTCTTAACCTCCCTTGTTAACATAGTTTTGAGCAAACAGAAACAGGTTAGAGCAAGTTCCACGTCACCATGAAACGTGGTACTGAAGTATTAGTAGTTCTAATATTTAACAAGCTAGTTTATGCTACAACAGTGATTTAAAAAACGCTACACGTCAAAAGACGTTAAGATCCAAAAACACCAAGGTGCACGAGCGAAGCGAGACGCTAAAATATAAAAATATATAATATAATTAATATAAATTATTTAAATAAAAATATTATTAAATTAAAAAAAAAATTAGGTACAAAATCATAATATCATATTAATAAAAAGTCTCAAAAATCAAAACAATAAAATTTTACATCAAATCTATACACTTGCCATTTATTATGAAACTTAATAATAATTTTAAATAAATAAAAATTAATAACATTAAAATAAAAATAATATATTATTAATCTAATAAATAAAAATACTATTATTAGTATACAGTAAGCAATATACTGTTAATATATTGTTAACAGTATAGTGAGAAGAGTGTGAGAAGACCAAGGCTGTTGAGGCAACAACAACGGTAGCCGGAGCGGGAGCGGGAGCGACGAGCGGCAACTACAGTGAGAGCCGCGAGCGATAGCGGGAGTAGGAGCGGCGAGCGACGACAATAGTGACGAGCGACGATTGTGGCAGCGGTGAGAAGTCAGCGATAAGCGATTATGGCAGCAATGACTAGCGATAGCGACAGCGGCAGAAGAGAGCAACGAAAGCGGAGAAGAAATCTCGATGGCAAAATCGCGAGTGTTAGGGTTGGGGAAGTTGAGGAAATCGCGAGAGGGAGCCTATCGATGATTTAGTTGGTTCGATTGAACCAACTAAAGCACCGGAGATCGAACCAGACGTAAAACATTGGTTCGATCGCCTGGTTTAACCCGGGCACTCGCCCAAAGCGCCCGACACCTGGGCTCGGGCGAACACCTAGGCGACGCCTCATTGAAGCGAGGCGCTTGGACATGAAGCGAGGCGCTCGGGCCTCGCCTCGCCTCGCCCGAGCGCCTAGGCGAGCGCCCGAGCGCCTATTGAAATCACTGGGCTACAACAGGTTAAATGACACAAATGCCAGGTGATGGATCCAAACATTCATTACAATGCTATCAGAATAACACAGTGATGTCAGATATAGGCTAAAAAGTGTGTTACATAAAGATTATTTTATATTAATGTTTCTGGTATAAAGCAAGATAGCTAAATATTTAGCATGCCTATTTAGGGCCACAAGATCAACTGCTATCTCTCTAGGGCTGCAGTGTCACCAGAACCAATGGCAATTAACAAGTTAACTGCTCAGCAATTCAGTAAATTTTAGTAGAATAATAAACATAGTTGACAGTCAAATAAACCAAGATTATGAATTGGGTACCATGTACAATCAATCCGGACATTGGTTATTGCAGAATCGCTCCGCACAGGTTTTTCTGTCAGAAAGTTTATCAAAAGTTTCGCCAGTTCATAAGCAAAAGGATAACGATCAGTAGCAACTATTGGATGATGAAGTGCAGGAACTTACACTGAGATGACGCATATTTTAAATATGGAAAGTCCATATTCTCATGGAGTTCAGTTTTTATTAGCACTTGTAACTTCAAATTTTGGACTGCAAAATGTTGTCTCCTTGCAAATATCTTCGGTGGAGTTCAGTTTCTCATCTGAGTCTAAATCCTGTGTTTCCAAAGATTCCATATGAGGACCATGAGATAAGTAAAAATACTACTAAAGTTTATTGACAAAGTACAGCAAACAGGATGCCGATTTTGACATTATGTCAAATTTAGCTGGCATTGGTGCACAAATGAACCTGCAGCACATTTAGATAAAAGGAGGGGTGTGAAGGAAAAGTCACATCACTTTAATTAACATGATTACAAGTATCAACAAATGGTGAATTTTGGTGCCTTTGTAAGATTGCTCCACTACATGTCAAGGACTCATATGTTGGGCCATTTTATATATGTTTCAGCAAAACATAAACGAGTGCTTGGAAAAAGCCAACTCTCATTACACAAAGAAACTCATGATAGTGTTGTTATATGTCTACCATGCAGGTATTTATGCACTTATGCAGTGGTTCATAAGAGTATATCATCAGTAGATAATTTTTTCTGATTTCTTGTGAAACTTGACTTGTTCCATGCAGTCGCACGATATGAAAAGCAACATGAAATCAATGGTTTTTCGACATAATGAAGCATATGTTATGCCATGTTCTGGAAGGAGTCTGAATTTTCAAACCTTGATGGTAAAAAATTTCTCGTGTCACTAGGAAAATGGTTATTAAAGTTTTCTTGATCCCTGGGAATCTAGCTTAAGTAGTCAGCAAAAATGTAGCAATATACATGTTCGAATATGACTAATTTTAAACATACTATGACAAACAATTCTTGTATATTCTTAGAAGTTAGAACTATCTTATTTGGTGTTCTTTGGAGCTACTTAGCCTTTTCTAGTTCATTCATTTCTCCAATCACCTCGAAGACCTACCCAGATCATATAATAATGTCAACAAGCTTATGGCAGATTGCTGCCTTGCCCATATAGGAGCACATTATCTCCATGAACTAGAGTAGCAAGCATCCATATACATCCAGGATCTGTTCTAGCCTAGTGCTTGATTGGTGTACACTTGGCATGACACCATGTAGTATTGTCCAAGCCAAAAGGTGCACAGTGATCCTTTGTTTCATGCATCTCAATTTATTTGCATATATTTCAAATTCAAGACACTTGTCTTATTTCATACTCAGCCTGACAAATTCTTTTAAGCAAATATTATGCACTATTTCAAAGGATTCAACCATATCATATGTAAGTCACTACTAACAGAAATCATTCGAATAAGAAACTTATGGACAAGAATACCACATACTCCAAAGCAAGGATCGTTGTTACATAAGATAAGAACTGCTGAAATACAGGATGCAGATGTGTAACATTCATAAACTGGGAAGCATAGTGCCACGAGGCACATGAAATAAACAAGGAACTAGGAACTCAGTATACTTACAAGGAAATCTTGTTCGAAAGCAAGGATCTTGCAGACACTGTTTATATTTGGTTTAAAGGCATGTTTACTCAATACTCCATGCTCAATATAGCATATGCAATCCTTAAGGGTTCGAAATACATATCCACTTTCTGGATCAGTGTAATACTGCAGCAAAGATGATATTGTCATCAAAGCAGTTCTCTACTTAACATAATAAACGAAAATGAGAAGTAAACTAGACATGAGCGAGAAGGGAAAATAGCAATGTCAACAAACATACCGTAGGAGTGCTACTAATAGCACTATCAAAAACACTATTAGCTAAAGACAGTTAAAGTTAAAAGAGGCATGATTTAAGATTTACAATTGAAGCATCAGAATGACAGAATGACTGTTCCAATAGGATAACAAAGAGTAAGTTTCGATATTTAAGACATAAGAACATTCTTTGCAGTAACAGATATAGGACAATGAGATTTATGTTTGTGCATGTTGGTTCTAGCCCAAGCTTAGTTTAAAGTTGCACATTTCTGCACCTCAAATTGTATGTCACAATGAAAATATGTTTCAAAGAATGAGTAAACAAACCTAGTGATCAGTTCTCCTATGGCTACTATGTGAAGAAGGGCTGGAACATAGACTGATGGTAGAATGAACCCTTTCATCAAAACATGGAACATGAGATCAGTGCAGGTGGGAAAAATGACCTGAATCATTGTGGTGTTTAAGTGCTTTTCGACCTGTATTACTATTGAGTGGCATAATTTATGCTTTTCTTAGATTATTTTGTTTCTTCTAGTAAGTGGCTTGCACGTGTCACTGTTGCTTCTGTATTAGTCCAGCATCATCCTAGGTGTAGAACATAAAGTACAGACCAATGTGCTGATACTGTGCTTTTGCATCATCAACTAGCACTAGTCAGCATTACTAGCAAGTTCAATCCTTAGTTTACATACAGCAAGATTTCCTCTCTTGTATTTTCCAGTTTTCTTTATTTTTACATTTTGTGATTAAACTGACACTACAACTTGAAGCTGAACATTGCTATGGAACTCTAAATCCAAACCAAAAAAAAGGAATTTAACAGAGAACAAAAGGAGGAAACTATATAAGCTGTTTTGCATCTTTACTTATCTGAGTAAATAAATAATGGTAACTAGCATTTTTAGAGACTCGAGATTGCTGGGATCACAACCATCCATGCAAGAGAAATGCACTATGTTGAATCAATGACTTGTTGCCAAGCATGCTTTCGAAAGCGTATGAATATATATATATATATATATATATGGTCATGCACAGAATTATTGGATACAATGCTCATGGCTATCTCAAGCCAAATCCATTCATAGAAAACACAGCTGATATGTCATTCCTCACCAGAATTTATGAACTACACTAAGGACATACAGGGAAGTTGCATGTGAAAGAGCCATCCTATGGCTTTCTAAACCCAAGATTAAATAAATAGGTTGATGTGTAGTAGGACAAGCTGAAACCACACCTAAAACACTAAAAAGAATTAGAGATTGTTGTTCGGATGACTCAGGTTAAGTAATTAATAAGTCTAGAGAAAAAATATCATGACCCAGGCCTGATAGGTTAATTGGCTTATCAACTTCGTTTGGCCCAAACCACTTGTCAAAATATTTAACTTGAAGTTGATAATAGTGTACTCATCAAACCCTTATAAGTCAAATCTTAATCTTGTCCACTTTTAATGTGAGACTAATTGGGGTGTTATAATTTTCTCCACTCAAGGGCTTGGCATCCTCGTTAAGGCCCAGCATAGCTCAAATCAAATCCTAACATGGTGCATGTAAGGTGTAGCCTAGTGGTGGCCTCACATCGTGACGAGTCTTCTAACTCCATCTACGGGTAGCCCTTTCTTACTCGAGCCCTCTCACCATGCCTAAATACTAGGTCAGCTCTATTACCAAATGTCATGACGTAAGCCTAATGGGTCAATTGGCCTATTAACTCCGGTACAGTATGAAATTTCAATCCTTGGTACACCATAGGTTAATTAAAATGAGAAATAATGAACTGAGAAGAGGAGTAACCAATGGCTATGGAGGAAGGTAAGGGTAGGAGAGGGAGGCAGACGAAGCTTCGAACGAAGGCGATATAGGCAGAGGAAACTGCAGAGGAAGGCAATGTTGGTAGAGGAAGCTACAGATAAAGGCAAAGGTGGAGGAAGTTGGGGACGAAGGTAGCATCAACAATTGTAGACGAAGCTGCGAACAAAGGCGGCAGTAGTGAATGGAGATACGGATAAAGGCAGTAGCGGCGGACGAAGGTAGTAGCGACGAACATAGGGTTTCACTTTGAAGACAAATTATGTCGGGCATGGGGGGCGAGGGTTGTGAGCTTTGTGTTAGGGCAAATTATTTGGTTCGATTGAACCAACTTTCTTGTTCATCGAACCAAGCATAAACCCAGACCGATCTTCACTCGAGCACTCGCCCGAGGCACTCGGTGCTTGGGCTTAAGCGAGCGCTCGGGTAGTGCTTCATCGAAACACCTCACCAAGAGGTTTTATAAGGTACTCGGGCCTCACCTTGCCTCGCTCGGCGGTTTTACAAGGCACTTAGGCCTCATCTCACCTCGCTTGAGCGCTTTTTTGCTCGAGCGCCAATGCCTCGCTCGGAGGTTTTGTGAGGCGCTCGAGCCTCACCTCACCTCACCTGAGCATCTGCTTGCTCGAGCGCTTTTTGAAAACACTGGTTGATGAATCTACACCAATCACATAACTCTCATGTGTTGCATGCCACTTGTTGCAATGCACCACATTTAAATTTTAATTGTTTGAGACTTAAATCCTCCACTAACTATGAGCCTCCTTGGATCATTTATATAATAAGAAAAATCCTCTAATACAAGCAACATACTTTTTGCATTTTGATGATAACGCTTTGGTTTCAATATTCTAGAATTATCATGCCTTGTATTGATAATTATTGATAACATTTGAATGTTGCTTAGAGTTCACTCTAATATTAAATCATGCAGTTTTAGCTTCCTTGCCATAAAAAAAGAATTTACTGAACTTATTGAAATTGAACAAATCTCTCTCATTGATGTATTGTTTCATCAACAGTCATATCATGATGTAATATATTTTTTCAATGCGTCTTTACAAAGTTCTTTGTCCTAGACTATCACTAATTATCTTGTCTTACATTTTGTCAAAATTCCTATTGCATTATAAAACTGTTTTTGAAATCATTCTATGGTGAAATATCACTAAGGCAATCAGAAATGGGAGAACTTGCCTGAACTAAATCCAATAACCTTCCAGAACCAATCCCAACCTTTAAAAACCCTCCAAACCATGCCTCTAAACAAGCAATCCAAAGGTGCATATCAGAGATTTCTTACTCTTTCTTTTGGAGGGAACCAAACAATTTTTACATTAATCCTTAAACTGAAACATACTTCATGATGCAATTCTTCACTTTGATGAAAACCTGCACAACTTCAGTGGTCAGTTCCATTTCTAAGCCAAAACTTCAAGTTCCTATTAGACTTCTCTTACAACGTGGCATGAATTTTCAAATACACACTGACTTAGATTTAACTTGTTTTGTCTGCTCTATTTTGCAGAGCCCATAGGAAGCTCCATATTCAAGGGATTATTTAAAGGCTGTTTGCACTTTGCAGTGCTGCCACACATTTTATCAGCAAAAATACACGAATACTTTTAATCCACTTTTTGGTGATAAATCTCAGAAAAAGTACCAGCTAATAAATATTTCGTTGCATTTCCCCAGTAGTTTTTTTCAACATTTAACAGTTTGGAAGATTTTTAGATTTATCCATGGACAAGAACATGAAAATTCTAGTATTCAAGCAGTACAATGTTGAGCAATGAAAACAAAACTTAATTACTCGAAACAGATTACTGATCATAAAAAGTATTATTTACCGTAAAGACATCAAGTTAGTAGCTAAAGTTTTGTAAACAACATGGACTTATTTTCAATGTACGTACTGCATCCTGTTTGGTTGGACTCTTCTTATCCTTGTTCCTTCTGAATTTGATTTCTTTGATCCATCCATCAGGTAAACCATCTGGGGAATATTCAATTCGGTATAAGACCTATTTGGAAAAAGAAGAAATAGATTTCTATCAATCATCAATTGCAGTGAATTTTTAGCAAGGAAAGGCATGAGATATAGGGTGCAATAAAAGAGTTTCAACAAAACCCATACAAGGTCACCGGATTTATTCCTGCAGCGTCTCTTCCGAGAGGACGTGGGGGGACCACATGCATTCCCTGCCTCAATAAACTGAAGTACTTCTTCCTTTGAATAGAAAACAGTTCCAGTCGATTGATGCAAGTAGCACTAAAATGATACAAGCATACAATTCATGTAAACACCCTTTTGATTGCCATTCAAAAATTCAGAATTTTACAAATATATCAACTATTTATCAGTATATCTATATCACATTCTTTCTAATGCATCCAGGATAAGAAGTTTCTAGGATTTCCATATGCACGAGGTTCAATCTTTGTTCATCATACATCAAAAATTCATTGTGAAGTAATGTTGTTCTCTCAAAAGAACAAAAATCGGCTGGCTATTCATTCACACTACCTATTTTCTTAAATTTTATATCGCCACTATTCATCTGCATAACTTCCAAACCCTATGATTTTACACCCAAATCTACTGCATATACCACAAAATTTATGAAAATATGCTCACAACTCTAGAAATACACTCATCTCATCATGCTAAACATCCTATAGCAGATGTTCTTGAACAATGAGCATGATAAGTATTCCTGGGAAGAAAGTACAACTAGACTATAATTTATCAAACTACAAACCAAGTGGACATAGCAAAGACCTGCCTGTATTTGAGAGAAAATAAATCAATTCTACAAGCCAGATGGACAACCTGAGTTCAACACGAAAGTTCAATCACCTATAAAAATCTAGCAAATACATAACTAAATAGTGGTGCCGAAAAGATATAGCAGATAAGAATGGCAGATTAAGAAATTTCACAAACATAGTCTTGCTGCTGAATACTTCTATCATTTGCTACTAAGACTCACAGGGATAAAGCCCCATTTGGAGCCTCTTGCTTGAACAAAATTGATGTCTGGTTTCTTGACCCTAATGGGCTTAGGTTTGTGTGGGCTACATTCTGACTAGTTTGGCATTCTTGTGCAGGTGTGATTCAGATCTAAGGAGATGTGGCTACAGGTGCAGAGGCCATTGCTACAATGGAAGGGATCTATTAAGTAAATATACATCAACTGAAAAATATGATTGAATCAGACCCCCTAATCCAAGCTGTCTCTGGAAAGTGAAGAATCAAAATGTGGAGCTAACAATCAGTATTTTGCTCAAGTGATTTGTCAATCTCAAATTGTGCATATCTATAGAGAAACTAGTGGATATGCTGATTATCCTCCTAAACTAATGTGTTAATTGTCTTGCTAATTTAATTTGTATGGTTTGAGAAACTTGATGAGTTCTCTTCTCCCCATTTAGATATATGCAAAGCTGATGTATCTAGATCTTCTATTTCAAGGGTAATATAAGGCTTATAAGCCTTTGCTCTTTCATACCAAAAGAAGAATCAGGATATAGACTTATAGAGAAGATGCCATATTACATCTACATTTGGTAATGGAAAATCATTATATCCTTAGACTGTTGAGAAATATCCATTATATAGCAATACTTTCATATGTTTATATATGTCCATATATCCTAATTATCATCTTTCATATATAATAATAAAAGTACATGCAGGGTAGAAAAAATAAAGGTGCAAACTCATAAATATGTGCATACACGATCTTGACAAGATGCATGCCAATGTTTACCACATATATACCAAATGAATTTGATAAGACTCTAAAGTCTTATCGTCACTCTGATACCAAATGATAAGACCCTAAAGTCTTATCGTGGAAGAAAGATGAGAAAAGGGATGATCACTTCGAGGGGATCGGCCTCCTTGATCGCTTCAAGGGGATCGGCCCTCCTTGATCGCTTCGAGGGGATCGACCCTCATTGATCCCTAGGGTTTGTCAAAAGACAGAATAGTATTTTTCATAGATTACTGAAAAGAAGCAGTTACATCCCTATTTATAGAGTTCCACCCAGAGTCCATCAGGACTTGAACTCTAATAATAAATAAATATTAAATAAACCTCTACTTGACTCTAACTAAACCAAACCGACTCAATAAACAACTAGACTAAACAGACTCAATAAACATTATTCAAAAGCTCAGAAAAAGGGTCCTAACAGTTCCTCCCTCTTCAAATCAGTCTTGTCCTCAAGGCTGAGCAGCATCAATCTCAGGGAGCTTCTCTTCAGCACTTTAGCCATAGACTATTTGCAACGCATCACAACCCGTTGATCAAGTAAGTATGGTCTCCACTTTTTGAGAGTGTAAGCAACAGGTTGATTTTTCAGTGTAGTAATCGTTGCATGAAACTTCTGGCCCTGTATAATCAATTTTATCTTTGAACCTTTGCTATCACAAGTGAAAATCCGTCCATCAATGATCTTTACTTTGAATCTGTCATAGTCTTCAATATGATGGGCTAATTGGGCTGCAACTTTCCTGTCCATAAAATTATTAGTGCTATCTGTATCAATCAAAATAGTGACAGGTTGATGCTTCAAAGTTCCTCCGATTTTCATAGTTTGTGGGTTAGCATAACTAGCCAATGCATGCACTGTATGTGTGATGACTTCAATATCTTCATCAGTTTTCATACCTTTATGATCGGAGTCCAACTCTTTTACTTCTGGTTCCTCTCTAATTGGCTCAATCATCAGAAGTTGCCCTTGTTTACATCGGTGCTCCATACTCCACTTTTCATCATAGTACAAACCCTTTGCTGATCTTTCCTTAAGTTCTTCTTGGGTTAGTCTTCGGGTGTCAAGGCTTTGGTTGGGAATAGATAGGGCTGGTGGCTTACTAATCATCTGGTTATTGTCACTTCTGTTTCCATGATTTTCCCTGTTGATTTTTTTCTCATGTAGATGTGCGAATGAGATCGCAGCTATCATAGTGCGAGGTTGACGAGCCTTAACTTCACACCGGATCTTTGGAATAAAACCTTCAATAAATGTATCCAGAAGTTGTCGTTCCGACCAATCTCTAGCTTGATTTGATAATCTTTCAAATCTACTATGATATTCCAACACTATAGAAGTCTGACAAATTTTTGAGAGCTGTCCATCCACCTTCATGTATGAGTAGATTGTGTCACAATCTTGGGGCCCTTTTCTAGTATTTCCAGATCTATGCAATGTAGAACTTGAGCTCCCATTTTGTTGAAATTTGTTGAGACTCTCCAGTAGGCTCTTTTTGAAATCATTAAGTGTTTCCTGCAGTCGGTTCTTAATTCTGATTTCCAATGCTTCCATTTGTGCTTTCACCGAGTTATCAGTGGCCATTGCATAAGTCTGCAAATCTGTAATCTCAACTTCTGTTTTTGGTGTCGGTCAAGGGCATCAATACTGTTGATGCGAAGTTGCCGAGGAGGTGGACGCCAAGGGCAGTGCTGCAGTCGCTGCGTTGGAGGAAGAGTAGCTGCCCTGTTTCTATCGCTGCGTGAGGTGAGAGCGCCGGGGTTGGAAGGCGACTGCGTTGATGTGGTTGCAGTTGCTGCGACCCAAGGGCGATCGCCGAGCAACGGGGTTGAGGCAAGGCAGCGTACTTGCTGCGGTTGCTGCGTTCGCTGTTGGAGGGCGGCTGCTGCAGAACGAGGGGTTGGTTGTTGGCCGGGAGCGACGACGGTGGTTACAATCGGCGGCTGCGGCAGCAGAGGGTGCCACTATTTTTGTTGCTGCATACTCTGTTTTTGTCGCACCACCGAAGGAGTTGGCCGGAAGGATCACGAGCAGTTGAGGAGAAGGCTGCGGTGACTGGAAGCAGCGGTGGTCGCTGGCCGGAGTGCAGCGTTGGCGGTCGAGAAGGAGGCAGCGAGGGTCGCGGCCGGGATCGACGGGGGCTGCAGTAACAGAGGAAGCTCTGTTTCTACAACTGTTGCAACGAGGGCTGCGGCAACCGGTGGCTGCGGCTGCGACCCAAGGGGGGGGCACGACGAGGGCTGCGGCTGGGAGGCAGGCGGCGGTGATAGAGCGATCGAGAAGCAGCGGCGGCGGTGGAGAAAAAGGCAGCGAGCGTCGTCGCTGGCCGGGAAGTTGCGATGCTGGAGATGGGAAACAAGGTGCTCTGTTTCTATCGCACCACAGCCGGAGCCGCTGGCGATGCTGGCAACGGCGGTGTGGCGGTGATCGTGCGGCCGAGAAGCAGCGGTAGCAGTGGAGAAGGAGGAGTCGGCGGCTGTAGAGGCGACCGACGCCTGCGGCATCAGAGGGACCGGCGGCTGCTCTGTTTCTATCGCACCATAGAAACACCGACACCGACAGATCGCACGGTCGAAGCTGCAACCAAGGGAAGCCAGCGATGGCGGTGCGGCTAGGGCAGCGTCGCCGACGGTATAAGCGGCGATGGGTGGTCCGCTGGCTGGGAATCGGCAGCCGCGGCCCTTCTCGCTCGAGCGAGATGCGGGCAGCGAGGAGGCGAGGTGAGAAAGGTTACTGGCCGGGGCACAGCGATAGCGGTGGGCGCTGACCGGGGAGCAGCGGCGGCGGTGGTCGCCGACCAGGAAGCAGCACCGGCGGTGGAGGAGAAGGGAAGCAGGGGTGGTCGGCGCCGGGAAGCAAATGTTCCTTCTTGGTTGAGAAGGAACAGCGTGCGTGGCTGCTGGCTTCGCACTCACAATTTTTTTTTTTTTTTTAGATGATGAACTACAGCGAGAACTCCGAGGATCGCCGCTCTGATACCAAATGATAAGACCCTAAAGTCTTATCGTCGCTCTGATACCAAATGATAAGACCCTAAAGTCTTATCGTGGAAGAAAGATGAGAAAAGGGATGATCACTTCGAGAGGATCGGCTTCCTTGATCGCTTCGAGGGGATCGACCCTCCTTGATCCCTAGGGTTTGTCAAAAGATAGAATAGTATTTTTCATAGATTACTGAAAAGAAGCAGTTACATCCCTATTTATAGAGTTCCACCCAGAGTCCATCAGGACTTGAACTCTAATAATAAATAAATATTAAATAAACCTCTACTTGACTCTAACTGAACCAAACCGACTCAATAAACAACTAGACTAAACAGACTCAATAAACATTATTCAAAAGCTCAGAAAAAGAGTCCAAACAGAATTTTCTTGCAAGAACAATAAGAAGCCATAGTTCCCAACTATTTCGGACTGGATGCATGGATCATTTTCTTCCATTAAGATTTGCTGAGAGCAATATCGATTGTCAAATGAACCATTAAAATTTAGGGCCAGCTCTATAGATATAATTGTCTTTAGCAATGTTTCTCAGGACTTTCTTCACCTGTCCTTGTGCTGCTAATCTGAAATGGCTTACCTTGCTTAAGGATTGCACTCATAAGTCTCCTTTAACATGTCCTGATTACCTTACGTGGTTTTCCCTCAACTTATGCTTGTTTGAGGCTGTCCCAATAGTTTATGAATGCAAATATCTTCTGTTGAATCATTTCTAGTGATCCCACACATCTCTGTCTCAACATCATCATCTCATCAACAACATTAACTTTCTGGATATATCTTTTTTCTAGCTAGCCAACTTAAATCTACAAAATATGCGGACCTTTTATATACTTCACACACAAAAATCATACAACATTCGTGGCACCAGTCTCCACTTTAACCATCCCTCTTCAACTCTACAAAACATAGAATAAGAATAAACACTATAGGTTGCAGTAGATAAAATGATCTCATAAAGATAAAGATGCAGCTCCAAAAGAAAACGAAATAGATACTATACTTCATTATGTATGTGATACCTTGTACCTCTCTTCTGCTTCTGCACCAATTTTTCGAGTTCTAATCTCCATGATCCACCCACGAGGCAACCACTTGAGTGAATCTTTTACTTTATGTACAAGCTAATAATCAATAAAATAAGCAAAACATTATTATAAGTCCCAAATATGCAACTAAAAGCACAAAAAACTTGAAGAGAGGAACTCTTACTTGCTGATCTTCATCTCCAAAACATTCTGTATCCTCAGATGCATGGGATGCAGCTGCTACAATGTTGAGATAGTGGATAACTTCCTCTTTTGAACAGAATGTGTACTCAGATATGGGACATGTGTAATACTGCAATAGAAAACAAAAATCAAAGGCTTGCTTGTCATGCTTACAGGGGTTCTTTTTTCATTCACAACCTACGGCATGTTCTTCATTTCACAAAAATTCAGCATCAGGAGCACATATAAATCTTCAAGGACATATAAGGAATATCAATAATACAAAAAATGGCTATCATTATGAGCATTTGAGTAAAAGGGGATGAAAAGAACTGCAATAAAGAACACGGTTCGATGGAAATGGAAATAGCACATTAAATATCGAGTCATGCTTTCTAACCTTATTAAATAAAGGCTATTAGAAGATGCATGCTGTTGGGTCCAGCCCATATGTGGGCTTGGACCGGATGATTTAGGCACCGAGCCCAAATCTGATGTATTAAGAAAAAAAAAAGGAAAGAGGCGTGCGCGACATGAGCGAGGGCAGCGAACAGAGGCGTGCATGCAGCGAACAGTGACGGCGCTGAGAAAAGGAACAGAGAGAGAAAAGGAGAGAAAAAGTTAAGATTTTTGGGTCTTTTGCTAGATGATCGAGCAGTTAAATTTTGTTGGTTTTGGTTCAAATTTTATGTGAATAATCTTTGCAACAAGCTCTACAATCTTAATAGAACCAATCTACAGTTTATCCTATCTAAGGTGCTTTCCTGCTATACCCACTTTGTGGGACCTAAAATTTTTCTTTTATGAAATCCATCTGTGGTGATGATGATATGTTATGGTTGAGCCAAGATCTGTGTTCTTGATGTTATTGTGATCCTTTGATTATTCTGGAGATGGTGATAGTGAAAGTTTGAAGTGGACTACGGTCCCGTGGTTTTTTCCGCATTGGGTTTTCCACGTAAAAATTTCAGTGTCTCACTTTGTGATTGATTTATTGTTCTACTGTTTATGTTGCTCTGGTTAATATTTTTTTTTGATAACAAGTTGGTATTTTGAATGAGGAACCAATTTTGATACACAAAGAGGGAAAAAAATTATTCCGCTATAATAGTTTTTCCCAACACATGCTTAGAAGTTACCTTTCTGATAGTAATTTTTCATATCAAGAAGAACCAATTGTACTGCCTGAATAAATAGAACTAAATTATGATTGGGATGACAATATTCCTTGACTTTAGCATAGTAGCCATGAAAATGTAGTTAAAATCCTATGCCCTATCTAAAATCAGAAAAGAAAAACCACCATCACAAATGAATGTCTGCATTTGATGTGGAAGATGGGAAAAGCAAGCAACGAGCTAAAATTAACCTATAAAGGGAAAAGGTGTTTGGATGATTCTGCTATAATTAATAGACCATAAAAAAAAATAACTGAAGCCAACAATATGCATAGAGATTTTGTGGTGTATAATTGCAAGTTCTAATTTCAAAAAATTAACCAAGATGTGAACCTGAATGCAGATCATTTCGGCATATATTGAATTACCAGCAACATCTCACAGTCAATAAAGCAGGACAGATTTTTTGATGCAGGGACCAAGTCATCAGTCACAATATACTACATGAAAGTGATGATGCAAATAAGTTGTTCCATTATGAAAAATGGCAGGTATTGATGATCATCTATTTATTAACATCAAAGATCCAGTTTATGCAAGCATGTTGCAACAGCCGAAGTGCTGAACCATCTTGAAATGTATCCAATAGTAAAAAAAGAAATTCAATGGTTCATGATCAACCGTAGCCTGTTTTGTGACAAGATCAGAAAAGAAAATTAGATGTTTCAATGAACAGGTGGATTCCTAATGATTTTTTCCAAAACAATGTTTGCTAAGAGTAGCCCATTTAGCAAAACAGATCAAGCTACTTCCACAAAAACCATCATGTCTTCTTACTTATATGACCAACCTAACATTGAGAGTTTTAAAATAGAACCTAAGGTTTGAAGTTGCCAAAGAAGGGTTTTCACTAAATTTTCAACATCTCTCATGTTCAGTTCTGTCCTCTTTTTTTATGGCATGATTCGTTAAACATGTCAATTCATGTTTTAGACTGGACCTTACAAACAACAAAAATAGACCAAGACGTTGGTGTCTTTCAGCACAAGTTCAAATATAGTATTACCAAGTTTGCATGATATGCACTTGGTATAAATGCCCTTCAAATATAATATTTCCAAGTTTTCATGATGACTAAATTAATCATATGGGTTTCACATGCAAAGTATACATGGATATGCCATAAAGCCTATTATACTGTCAAATTGAGCCATCCAAATTGATGATTTTCAACACCTCTAAGATTCCAGAAAAAAAAACGATCGTTTGAGCTTTAACCAGAAACTGAATCAAGTGTAATGAATCAACATTTCTCAGTGCGAATTAGAAACTCCCGTTTGCTCAAAAGTCAAAACCACTGAAATCATTAGCAGGCTCGATCAAAACCACCAAATTTCAGAAACCATAAAAATAAGCACCAATCCCATTAAATTCTTTACATTGAGATATCTTTTCAGTGACCCTTTCTTGGGGAAACTGCCAATCTCAATTCAGATCAATCAAGAACTTCCAAAGCTGTGAAAACCAACAAATTTGCAAAATTGTGCAATGGAAACTCTTTCCTTGGAGTTGAAACTGAAATTATAACTGACACTAAATCCCTGCAGGAAATCATTTATTTGATCGTCTCTCCAACTATGGTTAGAAAATCAACCAAATATTTGAAATCTTATTTATGATATCTGAGATCACGATGAAACAGTGGTTAAAAGTCATGAATATTGACTGTGTGCTTTTAGTAACACAAAGTTAACACTAAACTATCTTTAACAAGTGCCCAATGTGAAGTAGATACTTAATTCAGTTCAGCCACACAAATTCTAAGTACAACTGCACTTAATTTGGAATCCTTCTCAAACTGGTAATAAGCTAAAGAGTGGAAGTTGTTAGGCCAGAGTGAAGCAACGAACTTCCTGACTTCATCTTCCTGCAACAATTGTGGCTACCATTCAGCTATTATTGATCGTTGAGAATAGAAGAGGTTTTTGCAATGATTCCCGTCACGTAGCCCTTCCTCACCAAAACCGACGAGTAAAGAACCGGATTCAGGAGCAAACCGAGATGACCGCGGAAGAGGAACAAACAGAAGATGAAAATTACATAGTATCACCAGATGAACGGCTAGAACAGGAAAAAGATCCGTTCAAGAAAGGAGAGAAGTGGTGGGGTTACTCGATAGGTGAAGCCCTTCTTCCCCCTCCGGACCTCCATGATCCATCCGTCCGGCAGCCAATCCGGCGGCTTCTCCTCCGACATTCCCTGAATGTATGTCTTCCGCTTCTATGCCGCGATGATCACCCACCGGCGATTCTCGGGTCGGCAGCAGCGGCAGGCACTCACTCTTGCTGACGCTCTCTCCTCCTCGGGAGTCACCTAAGGGACAAACGACGATTGTGGAGGTACCCGCCTCGAGATGCGGGGAGAACGCATCATCAGGATGGTGATGGGATTGGGGATTTTTTTTTTTTTGACACTTCTACAGTTTTGATTGAAGGCAATTTATCGAATAAAAACCATAATGATCATTTTTAGGAAGTTTAAATTGGCAATCCCATTATAATTCTACTTCTAAAATTTTTATTATTTTTAAATATTCCTCTATAAATATTTTTAATTTATCATTTAATAAATATTAAAGAGAAGAAGGTAAAAAATATTTTTTTGTATTTATTAAATTGATTTAATATTTTTAGGACTCAAGAGATATAGTATTGTAAACCTAAAAGATGATATTTTAAGTGTTTATGTAATAGATTGAAAGACATAATAATATGAGCTGTCATATTCCAAACCAATCAAGGGATTGTGAGAAATAAAGAATATAATTAGTAATTAAGAGATTATATTTAGTAAAATTATATTTTATTATTTTTAAAATAATTATATCATGTAGTCAATAATAAAAAAAGAGATACCAATTAATAAAACATTAACCACACTTATGAATTCATGAAGTATAAGAGTTTATAGAATTAGAACTCTAACTATTTACCATAAGTTCATATAATTATAGGCTAAACTTAATATTCCAAAATTTCAAATATGATAGGTCTTTTAAAATTTTTACACAATATATCAATTCAAATGAGTTGACAACATTATTACATACAAAATATATGCTTATACAACAATCACAATATATCAACCAAGAAAGACTTATCCAAAATCTGAATAGCTTTTTATTTCCTCAACTCAATTCAAACATCTTAGTATGTGATAAGTTAACCTAAAAAATTTATATATAAGCAACGGAATGAACTATAAAGCTGAGCAAGTAATAAATATATCCAGGACAATAGGAGAAGTTTTAAGTAAGCTTGGTATCAAAATGCAAGGCAAGTATATAAGTATATAAGAGTTCATAGATATCATATCATTATATGCAGAATCGTAACTGTCATTTCATTCAAAATATATTTGGATTATAACAAATGGAGTTAAGAGTAATTGAAGCATATTAATGACATAGAAGCATTTCGGGGCATATCAATACCATATGAAATATTTTGAAATATATCAATGACATATGAAATGTTTCGGAGCATATCAATGGTGTATAAAATGTTTTGGAGCATATCGTTGGCGTATGAAATATTTCCAAACATATCAATGGCATATGAAATGTTTCGGAGTATATCAATGACATATAAAATATTTTGGAGCATATTAATGATATATAAAATGTTTTGGAGCATATGAAAGAATAAATATGAAACAGAAGCTCAAATGTCGTATTTGACGTTACATTCATTTCATTCTTATCCAAAGCACACATAAAAACACATAACCAAAATTTTGGATATCATATCAAACACATAGAAGATGAAGTAGGATCATAGACAAAATATGGTTCATTTATTTCTGGATGACCACTAGATAGAAGTTTTTCATGTTTGGGAGTGTAACATCTCTCATTTTTAAAATGTAAGGGTCTATTTGTAATGTAGGGACTTAAATGTAAATATTAAAAATATGATATAATTTATGAAAGATTCATATTAGGTTTTTTTTTTAAATAATGGGCATGTGTCACTAGCTAACCTAAGGTTGGTGCCACCTAAGTTTATTCTATAGATGACACATAAGCCTCTTTCTTTGCCACCTTGTAATTCTTATATTAGTCAAATCTAATTTATTAGAGGAGAAACTAAAGGAGAAAAACCTGCTGCATCCAACATAGGATTGAGAAGAGAAGGGAAGAGGAATTGAAGTAGGAAGAAAGCTTTGCTCTGGCTTGATGCAAAGCAAGTGTTCTAACCCCTTCCTACAGAAATATTGATCTTTGATTTCATCTTAATTCTAAAAACTTGGGAAGATTTTGGCTTCATACATCATATTTCTATCATTTAGGAATAAAACTATAAATCTGAAATTTTTTTGAGATTTAACCTTTCTGTATTATTCTAACCGTAACTTTATGCATCGATTTTGGATTTAGGAGAAATAAATTCATCCAAAAATGACTCAAAGCCTTTTCTTTTGACACCAGAATGGTAAATTTGGAGTCTACTTACCTATCCAAACTATTATTTCAACTGACCCTATGAAATCTATAAAACAGAGATTGTCGGTTTTGACATTTCAGTACTCTCTTGCTTATAATTCTCTATTGAAAACTCTGATTTATACAAAACATGATTTATCGGAGGCTAGACTCATAAACCTTTATGTGCATATCTGATTTGAAAGATTTGGAGTATAAATGCTTATTGAATCATCTGTTCTAATTAACTCTATGAATTCTGCAAAATAGAGATAATATTCTCTGACCTTTGGTTACTAAATTATTTATAACTCCTTGTTGGAAACTCCTATTCATACAAAACATGATTTATCTAAAACTAGATTGATACATCTTTCAAATGACCTATATTTTATATAAATTAGAGTATAATTGGTTATCCAATAATTTATGAAATATGCCTCTCAAATTCTATCAGAATCGAGCTTTGATTGATTTCGCTTATTCTTGTTTTAGCTCTTTGGAAATTGATTTCAACTAAAATCCTTACTTCAGTTGAGCTTTACATTATTGCTTTAAAATCTTGTATACTTTTGTCCTTCAGTTATTTGCATACCCGAATCTATTATGTAAAGTTCATGTTTATATCGCAATGTTTCGTATAGGCACATGCATTCTGTTGTTCCGCATACGTTTCCGATATGTCCCAATTTATTATTCACAATACCCTTTTGTACTATGGTGTTTGTGAGATAATATGAAACTTTACCAGAAATGATAAATGGATTATTTGGACCTTTGCCAGAAATGGTAAAGGATATGTGCCTAGAGCTTGCGATGCTCTAGATTACGTTTGATGGTCATTCAGAAATGAATGGACCATATTATGTTATGATCCTACTTCACCATCTATGTGTTTGATATAATATCCAAAGCTTTGGTTATGTGCTTTGGATAAGAATAAAATGTATGTAACGTCAAATGCGACGTTTGAGCTTCTATTTTGTATTTGTTCTTTGATATGCTCTGAAATGCTTCCTATGTTATTGATATACTCCGAAATGTTTCATTTGTTATTGATATGCTCCGAAACATTTCATACGCTATTGATTTACTCCGAAATATTTCATATGCCATTGATATATTCTGAAACATTTCATACGCTATTGATATACTACGAAATATCTCATATGTTATTGATATGCTTCGAAATGTTTCGTCTGCCATTGATATACTCCAAAATGCTTCATATGCCATTGATATATTCCGAAGCATTTCATACACCATTGATATGTTTTGAAATATTTCATCCACCATTGATATACTTTGAAATATTTCATCCACCATTGATATGCTTTGAAATGTTTCATGTGCTATTGATATACTACGAAATGTTTCATACGCCATTGATATTTTCTGAAATATTTCATCCGCCATTGATATACTTTGAAATATTTCATAGGCTATTAATATGCCCCGAAATGCTCCTTACATCAATGATTTGCTCCAACTAATTTTTACTCAATTATTATAAACAAAATATGCTTCAAGTGAGATGACATTGTAATTCTGCATTCGTTAAGTGGCTATCTATAAACTCTTGTATCCCTACCTTGTATTTAGTAACTTATTTATTTAAAAATATCCTCTTTCACCATGAATTTGTTAGTTGCTTGCTGAGCTTTATATGCTCACCCCGTTGCTATATAAATTTTTTAGGATAGCTTGTTTCTCGCTAGAATGTTTAAATTGGGCTGAGGTAGTGAAAAGCTAGAAGACTTTGGGCAAAGCTTTAGTGAATGATATGTTTTTATTGTATAAGTATACTTGGTGTCTAATGGAATATTGATGGTAAATATGAACTTACGAGTTTTGTAAAAGTTAAAATAACCTCTCATGTTTAAGACTTTGGATTGTTAAGTTAATTTATGCAATAATATGAAACATATAGTAAATATTAGTTTTGTAATTATGTAGAATCCCACACTTATAGATTTATGGGGTGGCTATTGTCTTAGTGAGTTAGTTTCAGATTTTATGCTTAATCGAGTGATGTGGTATATGATTTTAAACTACATAGGTTTTATGAATTATAGAATTATGGATATGAATGACTTAAATGTTTTCTCAGTATCCTCAAATGTATGTTTGGATCCTGGAATGTATTGTTCAATTATAATATTACCAATTTGGGGGGCGTGGTAGGGAGCTCCATCCACCCACATATGGGTGAAGTCAAAAGGGCCCCAACAGAGCATAACTTTCTTTTTAATTTCTAGTAAAGGTTCATATTATCCGACAAATACCAAAGTACAAAAGGACATTATGAATAATAAAATTAGCGCATATCGGAAGTGTAAGAAAATCTAAGGGCGACATCTTATGCGCAACGGAAAAACAAAATACAAAAATCCTAGATTTCCTAAAAAGGTATTTATCATCGTACAAAGATTGGTGTGTAAAAACTCGCAAAACTTAAAACTACGTATGAGATAGTTGTGTTAATTAGGGAGATCGTATATCTCTAAAATCCTACAAATCTATGAGAGAGAATGAAGGAGGTCAAATATCCTCTCTAATGGTGCTCCATACGGTAGGGGCTACGAAGACGCTTCTTAAATCACTATCCAAATATCCATACCTGTTGGCTGAGGAAGAGAAGGGGAAAGGAGAATAAAAGGTGGCAGCCAATAAGGACTAGCCTATAGACTTTTGGTTCCCTCATATTTATAGAGATCCCTTGTCAACTTAACCATAATGGATTCTACCCTATTGGGTACTGTATCATTATCCAACTACATAAGCATATTAGATTAGTGGATCTATATCCAATAATCTCTTATTGGCTCTTATTGGATCTCATATATAGGATCTAATAATTCATGGGCTTATTGGATTTCCAATAAGATAGGGCCTCCGGTAGATATTTCACATTTGAACCTCTACTCGTCGCAACACCTACCATATGTGTGTGACCCTCTAGGCCTAATATCGA